AAAGCAAGTGAGTGGGCTTGGAAGTGGGTCCTCTCCATGGTGAATCTTCAAGTTAGGCTGGTGATCTTGAGTGGCAGCTTGATGGTAGCCCTAGGAGAGCTCAGGATCTGCTGGGACTCAGCTGAGCTGCACTCACAGTCCTGACTCACAGAAACAGTGAGCTGATAAATGCTTATTGTTTCAAGCCACATTGCTTGGAAAGAAATTGGTTATGTAATAACAGAAAAATAATATTGCACATTTGGCTTAGTTTCAAAGAAGAATCTCACCTAAGTAACTTATTGCCTATTTTTGTATTATTAGACAATGATGGTTCTTCTCAAATACATGTCTCATGGTCACAGTAAAAACCTCAAGAGTTATTTACAGTTGCCCAAGAGGTAATAAATGAAGTTAGGTTATTAGAAATCAAGGAAAAGTCATTTTTGATCTAGATTTCTGAAAGAATGAATGCAAAGGAGAATGCACTTTATAAAACCAGACTATTAATACCACCAGGTTTAGAGAATAATGAGGATCTTAGAATAATACACACAAAGAAGCATGTATCATAATAATTACAGGCAAGCATGTACTGTAATGATGATAGCCAGCATCTTGTGAACAAAGTACAGGCATAGTTCAGAGATATTTTAGGTTCCATTTTATAATATTATGAAATAGAGCAAATATTTCAGTACAGAAGTTCCCCAGAATTTTATTTTTGCTTTTCCAGTATATGTAAAATTATGTTTACACTGTACCGTAGTCTCTTAAGTATGCAATAAAATTATGCTTCAAAAGAATGTTCATGCCTTAATTAAAATATATTATTGCTAAAATTGCAAACAACCTTCTGAGTCTTCAGCAGGTGGTAATAAGCAGATTGAAGTTTGGCTTCACACTATGGCTGCTGACAAATCAAGGTGATCACTAAAAGGTTGAGTGACTTGGCGGTTTCTTCAAATAACACACCAATGACATTTGTCACACTGATTGACTCTTCTTAACAAAAGATTTCTCAATAGCAAGGGAAACTGTTTGGTATTATTTTATCCACAGGAAACTTCCTTGAAAGTTTCAGTTAATCTTTTCAAAAGTTACCATTGTTTGGTCAACTATGATTTCATAATGTCTTAAGTCTTTTTTGATCTTTTCATCAGTGTTCAGAATCTCTTCACCAGGAATGGATTTCATCTCCAGAAATTTCTTTGTGCATCTATAATAAGCAACGTTTCAGCAGTGAAAGTTTTGTAGTGAGATGATAGCTGTTAGGTCACATCCTCAGATGCCATCTCTAATGCTAGCTCTCTTGTCATTCTCACAAAAGGAGCTGTTACTGCCTCCACTAAAGTCTTGAACCCCTTCAGGTCATCCATAAAGGCCGGAGTCAGTGTCTTTCAGGCTTGTTTTGAGGTTAATAGTTTGATCTCTTCCCATGAATCAAATGCACTTAAAGCACATAGCGTGATAAATACTTTCCAGAAAGCTGATTTATTTTGCACAGATCCACTGGGGAGTCACTGTCTACCACAACCACAGTCTTAAAAAATACATTTCCAAAATAATAATACTTGGAAGGCAAAATTACTTCTTTATCCATAGGATTTATAATGGATGTTGTGTTAGCAGACACACACATATACACTATTCAATAAAACATGTAACATATTTACACCATCCTCTAGTACAGTGATGGCAGTCCTTTTAGGGCTGTCACTGATATATACAGCCTGTGCAGCACACCTGCCATAGCTCCACTACCACCAATCTACATCTTGCATTTCCATTTATTGAACCCAGGTAGAGCACAATTTATAGAATTCATAAGTCCCCACCTCAATTAGTCCCTAACACTTAACAGGGTGTTGTTCTGTTCTTTGCAGCTTTGAAGCAGGCTGGCCTTGAACTTGCTTTGTAGCCCAGGAGTGCCTGAAATTTGCAGTCATCTTCCTGCGTCAGCCTCCTGAGTGCTGGTGCTTGGTCTGTTTGTTGTACTTGGAAACTGTTATTTCCTGTAGCAGTTTCACCAGCCATCTCAAAGCTCCTGGATGACTTGATACAGTTTCCCCAACTGTACTTGCTGTTTTCACACAGTTATGTTATAGAGCCTGCTTTTTACTTCCTTAAATCCTATAATGCAGTCTCTTCTAATTCTGAGTTTCTTCTGTAGATTCCTTATCTTTTTTAGTCTGCATAGCAGGGCATTGCTCTGAATTAGACTTTGGCTTCTGGGAAAATTGCGGCTGGCGTGATCAGTCCAGTTCCCTGAAGCCTTTTCTATAACAGCAATAAGACTGTTCAATTTTCTTGTCATTTGTGTGTTCTTTTAACACCTTTCAAGATCTTTTCCTTTATACTCACAACCTGGGTGTGAGTGCAGCATGCTTACATTTGGATCTGCCTTCTTCCCACGTTTGAGCTTTCCTCAATGTTTATTGAAAATGAGAGACGCATGACACTTTTCTTGAACACTGAAGAGGTCACTCACGGTTCAGTCATCATTTGGCCTCACTAATATGGTCACTCAGGGAAACAACAGGAAAGAGATGGGGGGCACCTCCCAGTGGGAGAGCAGCGCGGTATCACATTTATTATGTTGGCAATCACATTTAGACACGATGTCTTGTGCCCCGAACAAATCGCATTGACATCAGAGCCCACTGTAAAAGACCGCCATAAAAGATACAACAAATGTGAAAAAGTCCGAAACGGAATAGACATTACTAAAATATGACAGAGGGGCCCAAAATGAATGTGTTGTTAGAAAACAGCACTGATAAACTCGCTAGAGGCAAGATTGTCAGAAAATTTCAGTCTGCAAAAATGACGTCAAATTTGTGAAATAAAGTGCAGTGCAGTGCAATGATGTGTACTGTGTCTTACCTATTCTTAATTGATCTCTCCATGTCTGGAACAGGTCTAGTAGCCTAGATGTGGGTCAGAGCGTGCTCATGCTCTGCTGAGAAAGACCCAAGTGACAGACCTGGCACTCGACCCACATCCCTTGAGGATCTGGTACAGATGGAACATAGCATACAGGGGCTCAAAACTGTGAACAAAAGTTTACTAAGAACTGAAGAAGTGCTCCACTGAAATCCACCCCAAAATAACCAGAAGAAAACTTCCCCGAAAATCAAGTGGATACGTGTTTAGAATAAAGAACAACAGTTTCAGTGTTAAAGTATATTAAAATTACTGGGACTCACAAATATCTTTTGAAGGAAACCCTAAAAGATCTGTCTTATAAATAGACATATTTTGTACCTTAAAATTAATTGAATATTGGTCTTGGGATCGTTAAATTAAAACTTGTTCCATAATTAAACCATACCCATTCCAAGGTAAACTGGAAAACTGTATGTTCCATATAATAAGTTTAAAATAAATGATGAATAAAACATAATGATCAACTATAAAGAATTAAAATTGTGCTAATTTTACCTTTGGTAACAGAACGGTTATCTGACAATAAATGAGATGCATTGACAATGATGGCGAAAGTTGGTTCCTCTCATATTTTATGCCCTCCTGACACCATAACTACTTCTAGAGTTTTCTAAGTGCTTTTTCATTTTATACTATTTCCCAAAAAATTACTTACTTCTACCTATGTATTTTCCTAAACCAATGCTGTTAGTCTTCACAAAAGCTATGCAAATGCAGTGTGACTACTAATAAGGGGCCACATACTTAGCTAAGCCACCCTGATGCTCCAGGGCATTTTCTGCAGAGTGATGGCACAAGAAGCATCTGAGTCCAGCGGCACAGGTTGCTATTATGGCTCCAGGAATAATCAGTTCTATTATGGACATTACAGTCAAAATTCACCGAATGTCAAGCTTACTCATCTCAGAAATAGAATGACTATTTTCATGAGTACAAATACTTATTGTAAGAATTTAGAAAAGTAATCCAATCATGCCCTGGTTCAGGCTGAGCATTCTAAGATTGTGAGCTAAAGATTTACTGAAAACACAGCCCTCCGCTTATTCAAGAGAAATGGTTTCCTTTGCCTTGAAACATTGAATATTTGTCCTGTTCTCCACCTAGACTTAGATCCACAATTCCTTGTTCAAGTTCAATGGGATCTAGATATGCTTCACTATTCAGAATTTTGTCCTATGTTATAAAAGTTATAGAGTACATATGCTGTATAATACACGGTATTTCCTAAATGACCTAGAGTGAAATCTCGTAATTAAAAATGGAAGTATTATTTCTAAGACAATCCATATCAATATTGTTACTAGCTTAGATAAAGACTACAAGTAGGTTCATATCACTTTAAGTCCCATATTTTTAGCACTTATATATCAAGCTAACATGTACTACCAAGTGATTAACTTTAAAAATATTTCATGTTCTAATTCTATGGTGTTCAGAACGGCACAGCAAGAATTAGAGGTCTGCGCCGTCTTTCCCTTATACAGTTTTGCTAGGCCTGGTCTCGTTCTTACTTGGAAAGTGATGTAGCAAAGTTGTGTGTTTACTTATTACATATGTCCGAGTTCTCTAAGAGTAAAGACCATGTCTTCACTTTTGCGTTTTTCCACAACCTGTGAAATTCTTAAATCCTAAGTGTTAAACATATTTTATAAACACATCCGTATTCCAAGTACAGTATATAGATGGTGCTAAAAGTGTTTGTCAATGCAATAATAAGGCAAACTTTCTTTTTAACATCATTAACGTGCATTAAGTCACTGTGGATTCAAATTTCTTTGGGAAGAAACAGCCCAAATTATGCTGCCTCAATTCCACAAGACCTTATACAGCCTTTAACTCTCTGGTGGTCTTCCTGAATTAGGATTCCTGAGCATGGTAATAATACTTTGATTTTCAAGTTATAATCTGATTTTGCAGAAATTAGATGAATGAAAAAACTCATTTTCCAGTTGCTGGTGCATGATTTAAAAAAGCAATTACAGTATTCTTTGACTAAAGTTGTTCTCATGCTGCATGTTAAAGTTTCTTGCTTATGATTTACTTTAATGAAACAGCCCCTCTTGCCATCTCACCTATATGCTGTCCATACATGTGATAAAAGAAGCTGAAGCAATATGCAGTGTTTGTGGGTCCGTATGGATTTTTGGGAGCTATGCTGAAGACAGGGCTGAGGAGTCGAGCCTTTTCACCTTCCAGTCTGGGTCGAGATGTTTCAATGTACATATAGAAACCTTAAAACACGGAAATAAGATGTGTAAGCTATTGCATCATTGGACAACATATAATTCCAAAGCACTCTGAGTTCCCACACAAAGTAAAAATTGATATCAGGGTTGACATTCGTTTATAAAATCTGTACATGATACAACCTATCTAATTAAAGATCCAACATACAAAACTGGAGAGAAATTTGAATTTTAAATTGGAACTATCAAAATAAAATGCTCTGATCTGTATATATTAGTGAACTTAATGAGAAAATTGCTGCCTAATAATCTTAGAAGTATATGAATCAGTGACAGTGTTCATAAAAATGTTTTATTCCATAGTATTCATATAGGGAGCTAGATGTTTTCCTGCACTTAACGTTAATAACGTTTTTGAAAGTCTGTGACTGCGATGGTCATAACAGTGCATACCCTCATACCTTCTTTGGAGCCACTACGATCAGCATTAGGTCCCGTGTTCGGTGTGTATTTCGTATTTCTTGTTGCAGTACTTTGTTTTGTCCAGTCAAAATTATCTGTATCATCTTGGGTGAACAAACAAATGTTGCCATCTTCAAACCCACAATGAAATTCTCCTGTTAACAGTTTTCAATTGAGAGAGTCAATATTAATTAAATTCATGCAGCCTTGGCAATATTTCATTAGAGAAAATTCAAAATTACACAGCACTAATAATGCCAGATCATGATAATGCCACCAGAGTCCTAATGGTGGCCAAGATTATAACTGAACAGAAAATTACTGTAATTTAGCAAAAAAGATAATTTTATACAGAAAGCAATCATTCAGTTCTATACCAAAGTGAAGACCCAAATCATTTGCTTCAGAAATATCCAAATAATTTAAATTAAAACATAGAAAATATGTGTGATTATAGCTGGAGAATTTTCCTAATTTTCTTTTTGTAAGTATAGGAAGAATCAGAAAATGAGCTTTATTCATTTGGTTGATGGCATTTTAAAGACATATATCTTATAAATCTTCTTTCATTCTTTTCTTTATTGTTGTTGTTGTTGTTGTTGTTGTTTGGTACCAGAAATTGTACTCAGGACCTTGTGCTTGCCAGGCAGGCACTGTGCCACTGAGCTATATCCCCAATCCAAAGACATGCATCTTGAATTAAATTTTTTGTTTTTGTTTCTAAAGATGACTTTATGTTTACTCATTTGTACAAATGGAAATGTGCTTAGAGGAAAGTCATAACGAATTACTTTGAAACCTTCACACTTCATTTAAATGTGGGTTTGCCAGAAGAGTGAAATTCACTGGACATGAAGTAACAAAGACTTTTTGAAGATCTGAGGAGACCTGGAATTTCTTAGATGCCTACCATAAAGCTGAGTTCAGACCCAAGACAAATGCAGAAAGGGACGTTCTCAGTTTTCATAAGCTAAATAGCAATGTTACAAGGTTTCAAAGGTTTTCATATTGGATGTGACTTGCTTACAAAAGGTCTAAATGAAGAAATTTATAAGATCTACTACAAATGTAATTAAATTGTACTTTCTTAACTGAGAAAAGGAAAGATAGCATTATATCATTCAACCTAAGAAAGATTCTACACAATAATCACAATAATCCTTACTCACAAAGCTCCCAGATGAGAACTCATTACCTAAATGAGCTATGAGACAACAAAGTCAGAATAGAATCCAGATACCCTGTAGTTCACAGAGACAGAAACGTCTAAAGCACAGAGTACCTCCCTCCCTTCACAGTGGGTTAGATGTATTAAACCCTTGGGAATGGAGTTTTCTGCTTTGATCATATGTCTGAGACTAAATGGAAAGATAGTTTTGGTTTGCAGATCTTCTGTCAAAATTTAATTTCATATATTATTTAAAATTATGTACAATGAATTTTTATAAAACCACTTACATATTTATTTTAATAATTTAATTTAGACATTTTTAAGAGGAAGAAAAAAATCTTATCTTCAGGGCCAAGGATATAGTTCAGTGATGCAGCGCCTGCCTGGCAAGCACAAGGTCCTGAGTTTGATTCTCAATACCAAAAAATAGTGATGGTTAATAATAATAATCTTGTCTTCAAAAATGAACAAAAGAATGTGAACATTCAAAACCTGAATATACAAATCTCTCATGTAAAATTTAAGAAAAAAATGTAAGCTGTGAAGGATACAAAAAATTTTATGAGGAAAGCGGCTTATAATTTAGGCTATTTTATATATGACAAATTATTTACAATATCATGATTGCTGTTATAATTCAAATCAGACAGTGATATATAAGCAATAGTAATAGCTCATTGTCTTTAAGGACAATGTGTTGAAAAGGAAAAGGTAACTATTACTGGGGATGTATTGTTAAAAGTTGGCACTATAAATATATGCAAAGATGCTTACTAGCAAAAACTTTGTTGGAATAAAGAATATTAAATAAATAATGAAAATAAACTTCACTGGTATAAACATGTCAAAAGTTTAATAATATTAAATAGGAAAGGTCTCTTAAAATTATGGACGTAATGAGCACCAGCAACTTTAAAAACATAAATTGAGGATAACTATATCTTTCATTTTAACAGCCCTCTATTTACAAAGTGATTTTAGCAATTTTGGGAGCTACATAGAAATAAAGATATTTCATTATCCAATATTTTATTTCCTGGACTTCCAGTTATGGTAGGGAAAAATAAAAATCCAGAAATAAGTGGCCGGATATACAATTGCATTCTTCTTCCAATTCACCTTCTTTCATCACTCTTCATAACCTGCAAAAACCTAACCTTGCATTAAAAATAAGAGGTTCTTTGGAAATGGCATTCAGGAATGAGTTCTCATGCTAAATCTTCATTTTATTGCAAAGTTGTTTTCCAGAGATGATATGGAAATATTGTTAATGTATATTAAAATGTATGCTTAGTCTGTTTTATCTTTATTCTTAGGCTTTAAGAAAACTATAGAATAAATAACAAAAAATTCTAAAACGTAACAATTTTACAGGATTCATAGCCTAAATCAGACCAAATACATTTGAATTTAATATAATTACTCAGGAAAAAAGCTCAGACTATTAAAATACAAAGTGTCTAAGTAATAACAATCTTTTATGAGACTATAGAAAATAAAAAATATTACAATAAAAAAATGATATGCAATCAAGCAGAAGAAAAAAATTATCACACATTTACAGAATTAACAAATTTTAACCAGATTTGGGAAATGGCTCTACATACTCATATTTATGAACATTTATAAATGTCAATTATCAATAGTAAGTAATTTATATACAATATCCTCTTGAGTTTAAAATTCACATATAATGACTGATTTACTAATTTTAAAAAGCTCTTTTAAATCAAAGAAGGATAATTGATGAATATATGTATTTTCACATATTCTAATTTTCTTTGTGATGAAATACAGTACAATTCTAAAAGTAAACATATACTTACTTAAGTGAGGATTTACAGGAGCTACAAGAAAACAAACAAACAAAAATTAATAAAGTCGACTGTGTTTTACAAATAAGTGTCTAATTGGTCTATTCAGTGTCTCATAGTTCTTACCAAAATGTAATGATTTTCCCCACTATAGCCATGGAGAATTATAGCCACAGTCCATTTTGTTCTAAAGGACTGGATACAATCTGCTTGCTAGCTCAGCAATCAAAACTTCAAAGTACCAAAAAGATCAATGTTAAATAGCACAGGGGATTTGTTCATTTTCTAAGGAATGGAGTTGCTGACCTTTTCTATTTTAACCAATGCTAAACAAAACCCACAAATTAAAACTTCAGGCTGGCAGATGCCAGCGTATAATTTAGAAGGTCTAACAGCAAAAGTAATTATACAACAGAAATTATACTTTTGGCTTTTGCTGTCATCCATTTCTCATAAAAATAATCTGACATAAATGGAAATAGCAAAACATTCATATCATGTCATGTAACCTAAAACAAATAGCTACTTCTATATCAATTGGCTTAATTAAATTAAAGCACATATACACACAATGCCTGCACACAGAGTTCTCAAGTGTCAGGCAGTTGGTAAATATTCTTGGTCTACTTATAAATGTTGTGTTTCTCTTAGTTACAAAATATGGTGTCATTTTTAAAGTGAAAATCTAATTGCTCTGTGAGGATTGACGTAACACATTTTGCATTTTTGTGCACATAAATATTTGTACCTATTTTGCTGACCAAATTCACCATACATGGAAGCTATTTTTGTAAAAATTTGCAATCTGAAATTCTAAGTAGCTCATTGAGCTCGTTTTTTCCATCATCTTTGGTATTTCTTTTATGAGTCACATACAGATTCAGTTGCACTCACGCAAAATTCATATGTGTGACTGAGGCAGGGGTCTTTTGAGAAGTATTAGGTTAAATGAGGTCATAACATGTGTCCCTAATCTAATGAGATTGGTACCTTTTTAGAAGGGGAGGGGACATGATGGTGCTCTCTAACACATGAGGACAAAAAAGGAGGATGCTGGATGTCTAGAAGTCAGGAAGAGTTCTCACAGGAATTCAGTGTGTTCCTTCTTGACCTTCTCAGCTTCTATAGCTGTGAGAACACAGGGCCTTTGTACGTGTTGCATCCTCAGCCCATTTTATTTATTTTGAGATAGATCCTTATATTGCTAAATTGTTCAGGCTGGCCTTGTATTTGAGAACCTCTTGCTTCAGTTTCTCAGAGTGCCAGGATTACCCCTCTCAGCTTAAATTACAACCAGACTACAGCATGTTTTCCAAGCAGACTAATAGAGGGTCCACAATTCTTAGTACTTTATTAGATAAGAGTAATTTTAGTAAAAATGCACATCTTTTAGTATGCACATCTTCAAAATAAAAGGACAATTTAAAAATATTAAAAATATAAGTGACAACTATTTGTCACATGTATTTTTTCATTTTAGTTGGTAGTCACATAATTTTCAGTAAAACTTTGAGCTTATGAATATTTTCAGTATTTCTTTAAGGAAACTCATAATGGTCTCCTACATTTTAGGAAAGAAATAAACAGACACTGTCACAGAGAGTGAATTCTAGTTCTAGTCAAGGCGTCACATTTCCCAATCGGTTTTCAAGACAGCAAGACTTTCTGGATATTAGAACTTTTGTCTTTTAATGGACAGATTCTAATGCAAAGTCTCACTATTATGTAATTTGTAATTTTACATTAGGGACAGAATGCATAAATATTAGACAGAAAAGGTAATAATCCATATTTTTATAAAACCTTAAAATAATGTATACGATGGTGTCTAGTTGTCCACCTCCTGGAATCATGAAGCTCAGAACAATAAATTTGCCTTTTTGGGGGGTAGTACTTCTAATATTTACATAAAATGATTCTAACACTTTTATATTATTGCCTTATCACCTACAAATATTCTACTATACAATATACATCTTAATTTTCAATACAGTTAAATGCAGACACAAACTATTTTATTGTGTTTTAATAGCTTGACTTCATTTTTCACATCTGATGTTACTCAGTGCTTTCTTCTTAACTAGACAAACTGGGGTTAACACTGAATAAAATGCCGACTGCAGCTGTAAAAATGTATTTTATTATCTTTTAAACGATCATGACATATAAGGTAAGTAGTAAATATAAGGTGAATGTTTAAATTTTAAACATATACAGTAAAAGACAAATCGTCAGCAATCCTGTTCTTGTTTCAAACACACTCATTCCCTCGCTCTTTGTACTTTCTGAAGCAGTTTTGAAAGTCTCCTTTCTGTAGTGTCTTCTGTTACAGTGTTGTGGCTGTCTCGATGTCAAGAATGGGTTGTAAACATTTACCTACTATGGTTATTTTGACTTTGAGAAAGAACCAGAAGTTTCATGGTACTCAATCCAGTGAACAAGGTGAATGAAGATCCACTGTGATTTTTTAGGAGCCTGCCTTTCCACTGGGTGACATTGGATGGTAGCATTCACTGAATTTTTATCATAGCTTGCTCATACAAAGGAGAACTTTCAGAACTGCTTCAGAAAGTGGTGAGAATGATGGGACAAGTATGCTTGAAAAGATGAGGAATAGTTTGAGATGAATAAATGACTATGTGTCTTTTACTGCAATATTTTTTTTAATTTAAATAAATCTTTCATGTTTTTGTCAGCCTTGTATTTCTTCAATGATTCATGCAAACCTGAAAAATACATTGAAGACTCTGGAGGTAGATAACTGAATTGAATGTTATAGCTCTAAAATGCACACAAAGGTCAATTCAGAAAGTACAGAGCCTTAATAGACATTAAAATAAAAAGACATCTTATTGCCATTGCTCTTTAAACGTAAATTGCAGGAAAAAAAAATTTTTACATCTAATTTCTCCACTAGGGGTGGGGGTACGGCTCAGGGGCATGGTGCTGCTTGGCAAGCACAAGGTCCTGTGTTTGAGACCCGGTTCAAAAGAAAAAAAGAAAAAAATTCCACACTAGTTTACTCAAGTCAAACATTTAAATACAAAAGGTATATTTGAAGTATAAAGTTTATACAAGTAGAGTATCACTAACACAGGGAGGCATTTTTCATATCAGTATTTTAAATATTACAACCATCACCACTGCCATAACCAGCAACAAGAAAATAGTGATTCAGATGCCTTTCAATGGGTGAATAGGTAAGTGTTGAAATATTTATTCAACAAGATATTAGTTGCTAAGAAAAAAAAACCTGAGCACATCAAGTCACAAAGCACACGGGAGACAGAACCTTAACTGTATATTGTGATTGAAAATAAGCAGACCCGAAAATACTACATTTCATTAAATTTGAACTATACAACTTTCTGGAAAGGAGAAAGTATAGCACCAATGTAAAGTCAGGAGATGTAAGAGCTCGAGTGGGTGGGAAAGAGAGTAAAATGCAGGGGTCGTGGCAAGGCAGTGAAACTCTTCACTGTGACACTGAAATGGTGGAGAAGTGACCATAAACGCTTCCCAAGATCTATGTAACTACACACCATAAATAATCAACCCTAATGTAAACCACTGCCTTCAATAATATATCGCTATTCCTTAGTCAGCCAGAGCAGAATTGCCGCCCTAATGTAAGATTTTAATAAACACAGAAATGGCATCAGGAGAGAAATCTGCGCTCTTTGTCCAATTTTTTGTAAATTTAAAGTTGCTTTGTGATCAAATGTACTGATTTGCTTAAAAATTGGAGGAATTTGATTTTATTTCCTAACTTCCTAATGGCATGTTTTAAAGTCATAAAAAATTTGAAAAGTTAACATGTTGAGACGTATTGTATCGTAACTTGTGGGCTGGAAAATGAAGAAGCAATGCTACACCCATCACACAGGTTCCACGTTTACTATATTAACAGTATCTCTATGTTTGCAATCAAATATTGAAATTTACGATAACTTAGGCTTTCCGGTTTTGTTTGCTTATTATGATCAGTTGGCTGACAGTCCAGAAAATCACTTGGTTATATTTTGCTTAGAACTAAATTTGGTAGATAGTTTCAAATCAAATATTGTATACAATTTAATGTGCAAATACATTATAAAAATGTCTACTCACCACTATATTTGATAACACGAATTGTTGAATCTCCTTCACCAAATTTGGTGAGAGGAGTCAGACGGACTTCATAAGCCTCTGGTTTAATGAGCTCGGTCAAGTTGTATGTAATTAATTCTCCCTTTTGTATATTGCCATTTATTTTAATCTCCTGTTCCCACCAACGCTGCTGTCCAGCCTGCGATAAAATCAGTTACATAATTATGTTCCAACATTTTCTTGAGAGGCACTTACTGTGTTCTAAGGCAATGGAAAAACAACCTGAAAGCTTATCCAGTAAGTATGATATATAAGTACATTTTATTCAAGTTTCTATGACAATGAATTTTGTACATGTCTTCTGATAAGTGTCAAATTATAAGAAATTAATAAAAATGAATTTAATGGAATTAACAGATCATGCAATATTAATATATTTGACTCAGGAAGTTCAAGTAAGACTACTTGATCTGGAGATTTGGAGGAGGGATTTGGGGGGAGTGGTAGCGGCAATTAAACTCAGAACCTCATCCTTGCCAGGCAGGCACTGCACCTCTGAGTTAAATCCCTGGACCCTTTAATCTGGAGATTTGGAGAGATATAAGTGGAATTGTGTTACTTATCAGTGCCATACTATTGTTGAATACCTGCAACTTCTTCATTATGTATTTATAAGTATTAACTGTATACAAAACAACTTTATTATGCATTTTAAACTTTAGGGTTATAAAACATGACTGGTTCCCTAACTTCAAGTGAAACAAGAGAACAATGAACCATAAAATAAACAAATACCCTAAAATGATTTAACATAATCATACATATGATAGAGAAAATTTTGAAAATGACAAACAGATTAAGATTAATAAAGAAACATTGTGAGGAACCTGTTTCTAAGCAATCAGAACACACCTTTACAAGAAGGATGAAGGTTAGGAATTTACCATCGTATTTAAAAGTTGCGCACATATAATGATAACGTTGAGATAAATAGTACACATAACGCAAGGAAGCTGAGGACCTGATTGTGAAGAACGAGCTGAAAACTAATTTTCCTACACTGAATGCATAATCATTGTACTATTTTACAGGATTAGCACAAACTACTCAGGAAATAAATAGTTCAGATCATGTTTAAAATCTTCTGGAGATTTACAAAAGAAAAAATAACTGCTAAAATCTTTTTAAAAACCTTAAAGATGACACAAGAAAGAAAAATTGCATATGCACAAACGCAATTCGTCATTTTAGCTATCTGTCATGTTGTATCCATTTTGGTTTATCTCACAAGGCTGGAAGAATTGTTTAACAATAGGAAATATGTTAATGTAATTAATTGAAAAAATATATATTTCAATTATGTATTTGATAGGGAAAATTATACAAAATTAACTCTTAGTTACTAAGCTAGGAATAGGAAAGAACTTGATCTACCCAACAAATAAGGTTGAAAGAAACTGTATCAAATAATTTATTAATAATACATTTATATATTTAAATTATTTCTTTAGAATCACAAATGAAAAAGAATACTCAATATTGTCATTCAAAATTATCTCCCTTATATTTGACTTTCCCACCAATAAATCTCTCCCTTTATGAAAGATTCATTTGAATGATTTTTACTAGCAATTTAAATTTTTCTTCAGCAAATGTATGCATATAATTCATTAAATTTAAAGGATAACATATTTGTTTGCTTCTATAAATAGTGATTTTTTAAATTGTAAGTTTTTGCTGGTTTATGCAACTTTTCATATTTTCTTTATTTTTAGCAAAGATATATATTTATTTTGCTGACATATAGACATTACTTTTTCTGTAAATATACATAAGCATATTTATGCTTAAATGTCTGAAAATATATGTCTGCTATCTTCGTTTCTGAAATTTGTGGTATCGTGGTACATAGTACTTTTTTATTTTTATGTGCTGACCATGTAGTTTAAAATTTTGTTCTTGGAAATTCTTTGAGGCTTAGGACAAATATATATTCCTTCATACATGCACCTTTCTTCTGATATCTTCCTATGGGCATCAATAGCACGGCTCATTTTCACTTTGATTGTGAAACCATTTTGTCTCCAGTTTAAAGTGGAGAAATTTCCTTCCTTTGGAAAGGCTTTGGGTTTGCATTCCTATCCCCCAAACTTTACAAACTATTAAAATTAAATGTCCAGTTTGTTTCACTTGGTGAACAGCTGAGAGCAAAAATAGTTTGAATATGGCATTCCATTTATTGGCATTCCCATTTTCCCTTAGGGTTTTGGTTGCTATTGTCATTTATCTCTCTCTCTGTCTCTGTCTCTTTATCTCTTTGTCTCTCTTCACACACACGACATACACATATATGTACATATGCTTGTGTGTCGTATGTGTATATACTAGTTGAACATATATATGTATATGTGTCTATATTTACATATCTATGCTTGTCTTTTTGTAGATATGTTAATCCTAATCATATAGCCTGAAATGATATATTTCTGTAAGTGAAAATCTCTTATTTATGTGCTACTAATACATACTCACACAAATAACAAAGCAAATAACGGAATAGAAGATAAAAAATCCCATATGTAAATCTGTGGGGTTTGTTGTTGTCCACATAGTGGAAGGAAAATTATGGGTCATAAAATTTCTTATGTATGTGGGAAAGTATTTTAACTCATTCTGATGAGAATCAAATATTTAAATTTCAAAGTAAACTAGGAGAAGGAAATATGTTTTTCCTGCTTTAAACATTGTGCAATGCATATGTACCAAAAATAACATTGTACCTCTTGAATATATAAATTCTATATGCTATGTATCAGTTTTTAATTTTTAATTGAAAAAATTATTCAATTTTTTTTAAAGTCAAAGGAATCAGTTGCAAAAAATACAGAAGTATGTCATTTTGACCACACTATACTGTATGTTTTAAATGGGAAAGAGTACCATGAATCACAAAGAAGATTGATCAGTTAGCCAATTTAATATTTGAAATTAATACTAAATCTTAACATTCAAGTTAAAATGTGTCTTTATTAGTGCCCCTTAATAAACAAGCAGAAGAAATTCAAACCAGATTTTTTTTAAAAAAGATATTTGCAACTCAAAAATTTAAACCAGAGTACATTAAAACACCTACAACTGAAAAAGAAAAAGAACTCATTAGAAAAATGAGCCAAATAAGAGAAGTTATGTCATAGATGAGGAAATCCAATGATTCATTAATTAGAGAAAGCCCCAGCATCACAATGAATCAAAATGGAAATTAGATCACAACACTGCTTCTTATCACCTGATAGAATTTTTAAAATGGTACTAATATTAACATTGGGTGTACTCCGAACAAATGAGAATCTTTATGTGTGTCAGAACTGGTACAGAAGGCGGAGAACCTGAATAGGACTTCAGCTCACTTACAAGCTAACGAGTAAACCTCAATAGTGTCATGAGTTGTGTCCAGCAGACCCTGGAGCTTAAAGTTGCAAGAAATGGATTCATGACACAGCAGACATCATGAATCATCCCATAGCTCTGCATCCTCTTGCCTTCAAAGTCCCATGGGGTAATCCCAAAGTGTCCAGGGCGATGGTGAATGTGTGTTGATTGTATGTCGGAACTCAGAAGCCTTGTAGTTAAAACATTTTATAGTTAAAACATTGAATAATATATAGTAAAAAAATATGTCCAGCCAGTGATCCAAAAGGAGACAATTTTACTATATTCATCATCAAATCTTCCATGTACTGCAGAAGGAGCTACTATTTTCTAAGGATATTTGCTTTGCAATTTAACTTGCAAAGGTGAGTTGTAATAAAAGGGGAAATCTCACAGTGCCTCTGCACACCAAATTCAGACGCCTCATGAAAAACTGGATTTCAGAAATGTTTTCTTGAATATGTGAACTGGCAAAAGTTTGCAGAACACTCTATCAACAAAAACAAGACTACGATATCAGCAGTCAAACTCTTCTACTTGGCAACAGGAATATTCATGACACAGAAAGCACAGAATATGGTCTAAATATTTCTCAATAAAGCGGAAAACCCAAATTGTAGATTTCCCACAAAACAGAATGCAAAATGCAGAGTGAAGAAGGAAGCAAAGCTACTTGCATCAGTATGGATGAATTTCAGAACAGAAATATTCAGCTAAAATTTATTATGGAGCAGACATAAAATTTCACTTGAATCTACACATTTTGAAGAAGAGTGACACATAGCATAAAAGAAATGACGATAAAAAGTAAACATTGAGTTCAAGATATTGGTTATATAGGTGTAGAGAGATGGCAGGAGAGGAAAATATGCTTGGCATGTGCAAAGCTAGCAATCTCAGAGAGACTGGGAGACTGAGCCAAGATTATAAGTTCAAGCCCAGCCTGGGCAACTTGTTTGCTGACTAGTAAGATCCTGGTATCAAAATAAAAAATAAAAAGGACCAGGGGTAAACAACAGTTTGAAGGTCTTGGGTTCAATTATACATTTTTTAAAAAATGGAAAGAAAAAGAAATTACAAAGTGTAAACAAAGGACCTAAGGTTTTTGTTCTTTTAAAATGATAGTAGATACACATATCATGATTATACTATTTCATGTACATCTGAAATATTTCTCTTTTTCTAAAGGGATACATGAAGAATAAGAATAGAGACAGCCAAATGTAAATTTTCTTGGAACTCCTTCCCAAATTCTAAGATAACACCATTTCTCTCTTTTTTAATTTTTTCTTTTATTTTAAAGAGATTAAAAGAAGAGCACAGAACAAAACAGATCAGAACAGAACAATGTAAGCAACACAGCACTTTACCATAAGACACCTGGATATTAACAGTACTACCAGAATGTCTCTTTCTTTGAAATAGTTGAGCATACCTTCACATACAAGAGTACCAAACATATCAAAATAGTAAAAAAGCGTTCAAGAGAATGAAAATATTACAGGGCATTCAGAACCAAATAACAGAAAATGAACAATGGCTACTATATTACATTTTCCATAAAAAATTATGTATACTATCATCACATACTAAAATACAATAAGACACAACATGATATACCCAATGGAAACAGAAGAACAAAAGCATGTAGAACTTCAATGCAAGATGATAATAAATCAACAATGGCTATCATAATGTCTTGTTTTCTTCAAAATAGTTGTTCATACCATCACAGATAATAAAATCAAATAAAAGAGAATAAAACCACTC